GCTGATACACGTGATGTTCCAGGTGCTTTAATTAACGCGGCTGTCAGAGCAATGCTAATTGAAGCATTTTCCCTACCCCCCCACCTGCTTCTGGGATCATGTCCATAAACATCCTAAAACTCTGCTCAGCTTTTTGGCTAAGACCAAGCAAGACTGGGGACGTTTGAACCCCAAGGCCTTGGACTTGCATATAGGATGCCTGGCTTGATGTAGGCTGTATCTGAAGCCCCAGAACGATGGGCCCATGGTAGAGCCGTGAAGACTTGACCATTGAGCTCTGCTCGCTCAAACTTCAAAACTTCACAGCTGGGCTTTACACAGTTGAATTTAGAACTGATTTGGCCTTTAACAATTTAAAAAAATAAATTAAAACTGGAAGCATAACTCTCTTCGTGATGCTGCTGTACAAGGGGATGCTGGTGTGTGACTCCTGGGAAGCGGATATATAGAGGTGAAATGACTTGTCTGTTTTCATAGCATTAAATGTTTTTGGGAGATTGCTCATATATTATTTTGGTTACAAGCGTGGACTAGTATCTAGATTGGACGAGGTTTGTAGCAAACCTCCTTTTTTTTCTCTCTCTTTTTCTTCAAGTGGAATTGGCTATTTGTGGCCTGGTTCTCAGAAAAAAGAGGGGGTTTATTTTGCTTTGATTGTAGCTAGGTCTTTCCAGAGGGAAAGCTTTTGCTGATAAACAGATTTTTTTTTGTATTATTTCACTTTGACATCAGTCTTTTTTACTATTATGTAACTTTCAAGTGATAACTGGCCTGGGAATGACATGTCAGCCTTTTCTGGAAAGGAAGGAATGAAAAGAGTAGAAAGAAGTACAAATTGTGCCAGAAAATTCAGATGTGCGCAAACTGTCTGCTTCAAAATTTGGAACTTGTAACACTGCTGAATCTGTTTTCTTGAAAGATGGCTGCTTGATCACAAGGAGTTTGCAATATCTATTTTTAGGTGTTTTTCAAGCACAAATTTAGAGAGGAAACGTATATTCTTAATCTCAAAAAGATGACTAACTGCATAAATGTCAGTTATAGAAAAAAAACAGTGAAGTTCTCTTTGTATAGTTCTCTTATGTACTTTTTTAAAAAAGAGTTCTGCATTTTTTTCCCTTCAGTATCTGTTTGTTTTCCTGCCAAAGGCAAATTAAAGAGAAAAATAAAGCAATTTTTAGCCTACCCTTGAGTTTTGGGGCTTGATAATGTAAATTAACCACTGTTGCCTCAGAAACTTTTGAAATCTGTTAGTTTAGTTAAGTTAAAAATTATCTGCCTGATGGGTCTGGTTACTTGTCTAGAAATGATTATCTAGGCCAGGGGTGCTCAGTCTGTGGCCTGCAGGCCACATGTGGCCCAAAGAGCCGTCACATCTGGCCCTCGGGTCTCCCCACGGGTCCAGAAATTTGGCAGTGAAGAAACGGTGGCCATTAATATAGCCACCTTTCCCCCTGCCAAACTCCCAATCCCCATTCTTTGTGTTGCCATTCAGAGGCAAGTTAGGTGCCTTTCCTCTTTAGGGCTAGGCCATGACCCCTTCCCTTGCGGAGCCAGTTAGGGCCTAAGCCTCTTGCCTCCCCAGGCCCTGGCCCTCTTCCCTCCTTTTGGGGCTGGGTTGGGGCCTGGCTATGCCCCTTCAGCCCCTAGGGCCGAACCATGCCCCCTTTTCTCTCCATGGGCTCCTTTCCCCTGTGGGGCTGCATTGGGGCCAGCCTGCCCCTTCCCTCCCCTACCTCCACACAGCCAGATGGTGCCCACCCAGGCGCCAGATGGGCAACACCGGCTGGTTCCAAACTGCAGACAGACCAGGCACTGCCAGTCCAACCCACCAGGCAAAAAGGTTGAGCACCACTGATCTAGGCAACAAGTAATCTTACTCTTGTGGGAGGGGAGAGAGGACTCTTGTCTTTTGAAGGTATTTTTATAACTGTACTCAAGAATAAATTATCTGTAAATGGAATTTTGCTTGAAGGAAAAAAATTCAAGCTTGAGAGATTTTTAGAATTGCGATTCTCTCATCTGCTTAATTTCTGTCATCATTGACTCCAAGATGAACATGAGCCGGCAGTGTGGGCGTGCATTCAGGAAGGC